ATATGTATTTTTATATTCTAGGTAAGGCATAAAACTAAAAAATGTTCATTCAATTAAATATTGTTGGACTGACATCTCCCATAATTGCGATAAGCAGCTCAGACTGTCTGTCAGCAAATGTAGATTTGGACTTCTGTGCATCTGTTCACGCAGATCCGCCATTCGCGCGTGCCAATCTGCATAAGCGGCCGCGCAGTCACGAGACAGAGTAGGAGAATTGAAATACTGAATTGAAACTTTTAAAAACCTGAATCAGTATTGGAGTTACTTTAGCCCGCTGGAGGAAGGACGACACCATGGCTGAAGTATTACTGTTAGACAAGTAATGTTCTGTTTTAAAACTATTTTAGTCAGGCTAAGCTTATGTTAGATTGTGTTGTGTTATGAATGATTTATATGCACAGACGTGTTGTTCAGCCACTGAAATTTCCCGGTAAAAGATTGATGTGATTTTTTTTTCAGTTTCAAAAGGTCCTTTTACAGCATCGATAATGTAGATTTATATTTAGTTTAACAACAAAACATCAGTAAATAGTGCTATTCCGCCTAACCTGCTTTATTGTGCCGAATTTGCTTTTATATTTACATTGGGTCATTTTTGAACAATAACCTTCCAATACTGTTTACCATGCTACTCTAAATATTTGCTCTGAAATAAAATGTAATATTGGCTTAGTAATAAATGTAATTCCTGCACGGCGCTGGCTAAACACTAACTAACTGGTGAATGACATGAACTAATGGGTTGTCGGTTTGTTGTTGTGACGCAGTGTGCGCGCTCGCGATTTCAGGGGGTGTAGCTTTGAATCACAGTCCCTCCCCGCCGTCCAAAGATAATATGCTAAGCGGTTAGCATTTTGGCAGGTCACCTACTGCACCTTTAATCATTACATTTTATGTGTGTGTGAAAGAGGATTTAAACTGGTATTTTTACAAACAAGGTTTACTTAAACTGGCAGGAAACTGCTTGACTGCTGGAGGAAGAAAGACTGTGAAGGCAAATGAGGGACGAGTAGAGAAACGGCAAAAGGGGGGAAGAGAGAGAGAGATCTCCCTCTGGCCAAAATGAACAAGAACTAGGCCATGCTGTTCCGCACCTGAGCAATGCCAAAACAGCTGCTGCTTCTTTTTTAACTCACCTTTGAATTTACTGTGGGGGGAAAACAACTACAGTAACTTTTTTTAACATTAGTGGCAAAGCACTGTGTCCTCTGCTACAGCGATATCTGAGGAGCTGCAAGGACATAGCTTATAAATTGGACTTGTGCACATGTGTGGCAATATGGTCAGTAGTTTAGATTGCATCACTGTTGCTGCTGAGCTTCTCTGGGCATCAGATGTGGCCCTATAAAACACATCTGAGCCAGAAATGAATGAAACCAATTGTTTCAAACAAAAAGAGAGCAAGCAAAAATTTACAGGAGCCTGGCAATGTTTGCCACACCTGTCTGAATCCACTGAAAAATCAGTGGTGGTGTCTCAAATAGTTTGTTTCACTAGGTTTAATTTTATATATTGTCTTATCTTTTTTTTTTTTTACTCTGACCTGAAATCTTGCTTATCTTATGGATCAACCTCTTTTAAGCTCCATTTGAGTAAATAATGAACAAGTGATTAAAGGATAATCACAAAGATGAATAAACACCTGTGCTGTATTCCAGAGCTTCACTCAAAAATGAAAATTAACTCACTGTTTACTCAAAGTTTCAAAGCTTTTAGAATTTCTTTATTCTTTTGAATGAAAGAAAGTTGAAAACCTGTAAATATCACCTTCCACAGAAGGAAAAACAGTGGAAGGAAATGGTTGCAGGTTTCTAGCTTCCAACAGAAAACAAGAAACTCAAACAGGTTTGGAACAATTGCATAGAGAGTAAACAATGACAGATTTGTTTTCATTTTTGGGTATCCAACTATCCCTTTTATGCTTTTGAAATGGCACCTCTGTTGGCACAATATGTTACTGCAGCTGTTTTTTGATGTAGACATTTACTGAGTTTTTGTTTTGTTTGTTGTTCATTCATTGAATATATAAAAGAAATACCATCTGAAAAAAACAATACCAGCTGAATTATGATAACCTCCTAGGGCCCAGGGTGTTGTTTTACATGCAATTGTATTTCTCTTTGCTTTTTGGGCTTATTGGAACCTAATTAGAATAAAACCTAAGTATCATCTTTTGATATGATGTACTTTTAGAGAAAAATGATGTCCATATGTGTGGACTCATGGTCTGAATTTACATAAATTATATATATATATATACAGTATGTATGTATGTATGTATGTATGTATGTATGTGTGTATGTGTATGTGTATATATATATATATATATATATATATATATATATATATATATATATATATATATATATATATATTAGGGATGTCCCGATCCGATATTTATATCAGAAATTCGTCCGATATCAGTCCAAAAAACTATATCGGACTGCGTTAAAAATCTCTGATATAAGCAGTCCGATAATCTCTTAACTCCGTTACAGCTATTCTATCCAGCAGCGTCCAGAGCCAGCGTGCAAAGCCCACGTGATCACAACACTGCTTGCTAGCAAAGCCTCTAAGAGTTAACATGCACTTCACTCTAAGTTATGGTGTATTACGATAGAAATCTATTGTGATGGTAGCACACGCTGACGCTAGCAACAACGGCACTTCTCTAACGCTACTGGTTTATTTACTTCACATCAAGCGATTTTTACATTGTTTTGCATAAGGCTGCTAAGCAACATAAGGCACCAAATGGCGACGTAGCACACATCGTGCGAACCTCAATTCGGTCATGGCATATCGTGGTTCATCCAGTGTGATACCTAATTCATCACCAGCGCTTCACACACATAAGACTTTACCTCAGCGGCCCGGTTCTGTGTGCGTGAGAAAAGTCTCCACAGACTCGCGGGCTCTGCTGCTGCAGCAGACACACAGAGAAGCGCTGGACACCTGCTCTGACTTTAGCTTTGAGAAAAGCGCGGGACACGCTGAAAAAAAAAACCTTTTACTAAATACACTGTTCCAGCTCATTATTTAGGGTGACAATACAGTATCTTTTTCCCGGACATGTCCTCTATCTGAACATGTCCCTGGTTCTGCTTTCTTTAGCTGCGTTTCTACATTATTTTGTGCGCAAACTTTCAATCTCTCAGCAGCACCAAGACTAGAGAGGGAGCAGATTTGACCTGTCAGTCGTGCACATGGAAAGTAGGAGTGAAATAGTGGATTTATTATTCTTTATTTATTTTTTTTACTTGAACACTCTGAAAGGAACAGTGTCATGTAAAATGCTAAACTTTTTTGTTGTTTTAATTGTCTATTAAATTAGAATAAGAAGTCATTCTGTTGCTGAGGGCCATTACAGTTTAAAAGCAAGAATGGTATTACGTTTGGGGCAGAATTTTTATTAGAGACATTGCCATGTTTAATTCTTCTTTAAAAAGCCCAGAAAGATAAAGTGCTCTGATAAACAGTGTCAGCTTTGCATACAAGTTTGCAGTTCTCTTTATTTACATTGTCTACTTTTCTCATGTGGGCAGTAGGGTGGAATCTGTGCAAATATGCAAATACAATGTATTTTGATAAATAAAATTATTCTTAAAAGTCCCATTACATCAAGTGCTGTGGAGAAAAGGTGTGTTTCAATCTAGCCTCTGCAAGTATTTTTATGTTAAATATAATATTTGCAATATATATTATTATAAAATTAATAATGTTTGGGAACATTTATGCAGCCATAATCTTCTTATGATACAAACACAGATGAAATAGCTCTGATCATGTAAATGTTTGTACTAACCATACTGCACATTTTTATTAACTTAACAATAACTTATTTCTGCTGCCCAGTGTAAAAGATATTTTTTCAGCTCAACTGGATCAAAAATTCATCTAAAAGCTGTGTGTGAAATTGAAATTTTGGACACTGAACCTTTAGCAGTTATTCAATTAACAATTTTTTTTCCCTGTGTTCCTGCTCTCAGCAGTTTCTACTATTTGCTGATGGTAAAAATGAATAACTGAAGTGACCCTTAATTAGCATTTTGCACTTTAAAAATGTATTTTTGTTTATTCTATTAAGATATTTTTCAGTGTCTTAATATTTATTCTTTAATTCTTTTTATATAATCTTATGTAAAAGGTTCACATTCATGCAACCAATAGTTAATAAACTTGTTTTTTCCATACTTACAGTTGCTGACTGTTTCTCAGTTTGATCTAGCCTTTCATACATTTGAATCAACAAAATAGGTAAAAGTAAAGTATTTATAATTTGTGCTGTTATCGGATTTATATCGGTATCGGTTCGTACTGATGGCTGCAATATCGGTATCGTATCGGAAGTTAAAATTTTGTATCGGGATATATATATACACCCACACACAAAGAGAGAGAGAGCATAAAGATGATGTTGAACTCGAAAGTTGTTTAGGCCTACTCTTACAGCCAGATGGAAACATTTGAAGTTGAAACAGTTTGAAACAGTTCAACTTCTTGAAATGTTTTGCATCTCAAATAATTGCTGAATCATGTATGTCAACTGTGCAATTATGTCAATAAAACATTTGTAATCGGTTGTCACGTTATGTAACGTCACTGACATTCAAAATTCCATAGTAAGCTATAAAGAAAACAGCGTTTTTAACCTATATAAAAAGTGGGAAAATAGTGGCATACAGGCCTATTTAGGGTGTTTCGAAAGAATATACATATTGGGTGAAAAATAAGATGAGAAAGAATGGATATGTTTGAAAGTACAGTATCAGCTATTTGCGAAACAAGTGGGTTTCCCCTAAAAGAAGTGTTCATCGTCGAATGGTGTGGTTTACACCGCCGGCTGGAGAGGCTGCGGTGCAGAGAATGAATGAGATGTCGTGTGTGATGCATTACACCACTACAGATGAAACCGGTATTGCATCACGTGGTCACCGTCCTTGTTAGTGACTGATAATTCATTCAGTGATCATCGGTAAGAGGAATAAAGGACCATTTGCGTTCATACATGTGGTTGAGAGAGGACAACGGTGGGAGGGGAGGGAGAGGAAAAACGCTGAAGCAGAATCCCCGCTTTCTTTCTCTCTCCCTCTCTTCTCTTTCTGTTCCCCGAACGCAGCGCGCGTATCCCACTCACTGAGCGCGAGGCTCCGCGGCACGCGCACACACGCCTGCTCACACACTCACGCACAGTCACACTCACACAGAACCAGCCGAGACAGGGAAGAATGAGGAAGAACTCGCACGCACGTTTCACCTCTCTCAGATTTGCTGATAAAGCATCAGATATTTGAACGCTACGGGTCTGTTTGGGGAAAAACAAACGCGTATATGGAAAGCGGAGGGTGTATATGTGCATATATTACTCGCGCGGGTCTCTAATCTCTCCTCCATCTCATATATAAAAACTAAACTAATGCGAGCTGGGATACTACTGACGGCTTCCGACACGCACAGTCTCCGTTAACTCTCCTGCTGCCGCTGTCCCTCAGACTGACTACTTCCCGGAGTACCGTTACGGTAAGAGCATCTTCTTCTTATATTTAAAATTACACATAACCCTAGTGCAAGGATACCGCCATCATTAAGCTCCATGCAGACCCAATATGTATAGGTGGCGCGTTCAACAAGGGTTAACAGGCAGCCGCAGACAGTCCGAGTATCACATTAATGATAATCACTACGGAGAGGGAACCACTTGATACAGAGGTACGCTCTTGTGCCAGTGCGGTGCGGTCCGGTCTGCAGTGGCCCGCGGTGGATCATTTAACCGGTTGTTCGCCTTCACCTCATTTTACGGAAATCTGTTGTGCACGTGAAAGTTGTATTAAACGATCCGATCGCAAGAAAATCTGTGATGCATGAACATAACGTGAGGGGGAAAGGTTGAGGCTGCTTTAGCCAACGTTTATCCGAACAATAAGAGCATTTCAATAAAACAATCATCCGTGTCCGCATCGACTGTATGTGGGATGGCAGATGTTTGATCAGAGGATGGGGTGCTGAATGAGAGCAGTAGGTTGCGGTATATGTGAATGAGAGTGAGGGAGATCTGAGCAGTGCTGAATTCAACCGCGCTGTATTCGGTCTTTTTTTTGCATTACACATCGTTAAACCGGGGTTAAAAACGGCCAAAATGTGTATGATTAAATAATGATCCAGGCCTATTCGAGACGCAGTGGTTTTATTTAGATTTAAATATGTGAGCAAGGTCTGCAAGGGTTTGCTGTGCACTGTACTCATTGATGACTGCAGATATGAATGTGTGTGTGACTCTGTGGGTGTGTGTCCATGCATGTGTTTTGCACCATGAGCAAGTGTTTCATCCTCTTGCTTTAGGGGCAGATTGCCACCCTTTGTCTGATGATGCATTTTGCAGGCATGGTTTGAATTCAGGTCTGCTTGCTTGCAGTCAAGTGCCAGTGTCCCAACCTGAACTTCATTGGATAATTTCTTTTCAGTACCAAAAATCTACACTAAATATTTGACTTTTTAAGGAAAATCAATTTGTAAATTGTATATTGAAAATAACATTGTTGCTATAAGTCTTAAGGAAGCATGTACTGTACCATTCTGCTGAAAAAAATGCTGATTTAATTGATTAACAATAAATGATTTAACATGGGTATATAGATCTTCACATAGAAATGATTTCACATGGATATACAAGTCTAGTTGCTTCAGAAGGAGTTTTCTCTTGACATTTCAGGAACTTGCCTTTCAGCAAACACTGTTGAAATGCTCCCAAAAAAATCTGTTTTAAATCAGTGTCAGAAATCTAGCTATATAGTAACCTTTATGAGAACGTGTGTCAGTACCTGTTGGTGATTAGTGTCCTGGTTTCGTTTCAATTAATGGATGATCTATTTTTTTCTTCACCTTTTTTTTCTTTCTTTTTTAGCAGAAGTTTGCCGCCGAGTAAGGAAAGATGAGGCATCGTGAGACCTCCCCACGCCTCTTCCTGACCTTTCAGTGTCTAGTCCTTTTGGTTATAGTGGTCCACAATGTCCACCATGTGACAGCCGAACATGCCCCAGATCACAGCCAGGATCATAGTTCTCCTGCCAACAAATCTTTGAGCTGTGGGGGCGGCTCAGCCATATGTGCCCCTGGAGTCATCCTTCCAGTGTGGGAACCCCCAAATCCTTCCTTTGGGGACAAGGTAGCCCGGGCCACCGTTTACTTTGTGGCACTGGTATACATGTTTCTGGGGGTTTCGATTATTGCTGATCGCTTCATGGCATCTATCGAGGTCATCACCTCACAGGAAAAGGAGATCACCATTAAGAAACCAAATGGTGAAACGACCACCACAACTGTACGCATCTGGAATGAAACCGTGTCCAACCTTACCCTCATGGCTCTGGGTTCTTCGGCTCCTGAAATTCTGCTGTCGGTCATTGAAGTGTGCGGCCATAACTTTGAAGCTGGTGACCTCGGTCCCTCTACCATCGTCGGCAGTGCAGCTTTCAACATGTTTGTCATTATTGGAATCTGTGTCTATGTGGTGCCCGACGGAGAACATCGCAAAGTGAAACACCTGCGTGTGTTTTTTGTTACTGCTGCTTGGAGCATTTTTGCCTATTTGTGGATGTACCTGATCTTGGCTGTTTTGTCACCTGGTATTGTCCAAGTGTGGGAGGGTCTTCTCACTCTTTTCTTCTTTCCCATTTGCGTGGTCTTCGCTTGGATCGCTGACCGCCGCCTCCTGTTTTACAAGTATGTTTACAAGCGCTACCGAGCTGGCAAGCACCGTGGCATGATTATCGAGACAGAGGGGGACCGGCCTTTACCATCCAAGGTGGATATCGAGATGGATGGGAAAATGCTGAACTCCCATGCCGTGGACTTCTTGGATGGAACTCTGGCTTTGGAACTGGAGGATAAAGACCTGGATGAGGATGAAGCTAGACGTGAAATGGCGAAGATCTTGAAGGAACTGAAGCAGAAACATCCAGATAAAGAGGTGGAGCAGTTGATTGAGCTAGCTAATTACCAGGTGCTCAGCCAGCAGCAGAAGAGCCGTGCATTCTACCGATGCCAGGCAACCCGCTTGATGACCGGAGCAGGTAACATTCTGAAGAAACATGCGGCAGACCAGGCTCGTAAAGCAGTGAGCATGCATGAGGTACGCAGTGACACTGGTGAGAATGACCCAATTTCTAAGATCTTTTTTGACCCTTGCTCATACCAGTGCCTGGAAAACTGTGGCACCGTGGCAGTGAATGTGATCCGTCGTGGAGGCGATCTCAATCAAACCGTGTCCGTGGAATTTCGCACTGAAGATGGAACCGCAAATGCTGGCTCAGACTATGAGTTCACTGAAGGTACCGTTGTTTTCAAGCCTGGTGAGACACAGAAGGAAATCCGAGTTGGAATTATTGACGATGACATCTTTGAAGAAGACGAGAACTTCCTCATCCACCTAAGCAATGTCCGTGTGGTTCATGAGGGTGATGAGCCAGAGACCACTGAAGCCAATCATGTGGAGACCATTGCAACACTCGGTCTGCCCTCCACAGCAACAGTCACCATCTTTGACGATGACCATGCTGGAATCTTCACATTTGAAGAGCCGGTCACCCATGTGAGTGAGAGTGTGGGTGTCATGGAAGTGAAGGTCCTGCGTACGTCTGGTGCCCGTGGGGTGGTGTCAGTGCCATATAAAACCATTGAGGGAACAGCCCGTGGAGGGGGAGAGGACTTTGAAGACAGCCATGGTTTTCTGGAGTTCCAAAACGACGAAATTTTGTAAGTCACAATCTCATATTATATCATACAGCAAAATGTGTTTGGGTTCCTGTCCTGATAAGTCACTCCTAAAAAGAAGAGCAGTACTTTTTTAAGATCTGAATTTAATTTGGGTTCTTGTAGTGCTCTGTCAGAACAGGAATGTAATGCATGCAAGATGTTTTTGAATTATATGTGCTTGGAGTAGCATGCTTGATGCTAAGTATTTTGCTGTGTGGCATCATTGTGATGTCACTGTGATATGAGAAGCATTGTGTGCTAAAAGCAGCCAATGGAGGATGTCATCAAATAGAAACTCCCCAGATATATTTCCCATCTTCTTCTCTTCTCCATCTTTTCATGTATCTTTCATTCACAATTCTCCCTTCTTAGCTTTCAGCCTCAAAGCCTAATTCCTCAGAGTCAGTGTGAATGATGATGGTTATAATATATACTATTTGGCAGATGTTTTACTGTTTTGTTCCCTGTTTATTTATTAATGCATTTTTTTTATCTTTGTATGATGTTTATCAAGGCTTTTTGTGGCTTTTGACTGTGGTGTATGACTAAAGTTATTTCTGGAGATGATGTTTGCATGCATTTACAATAGCTGATTTCAAGGGGATATTCCAGACCACTCTAAGGTGGTTAGCTGGTCTTATTTGGCTGGTTTAGAGCCAACTTGAACACTTATCCAGCTAGGCACTCATCTAAAGCTCTGGCTGGGATACTAATGCAAAGTTCAGACTCCACGATTTTGATTATCTGGGCTAGAACTGCATCGCTGTTTCGTTTACACTGCAAGATGAATCGGCGACTTGGAGTTTCACAATGCATGACTTTAAAATAGGAAGAATCGCCGACAACTTTTGTCTCAGTCTTCAAACTACGCCTCACAACTAAACACACGTGAGAAGTGACATGGAAACAACATGAGCTCACGTAGTATTTTGTTATTAACTAGCCTACATAATGAGATAGAAACCTTTAGCAATGTAGAAATTGTACTTCTTTTGCTCACCTTGCTTTAAAGGGAATTAGCAATTTTTCCTCAAATTTTTTTCGAATATTCGGTTGTGATTTTGCTCAGATGACATGTCAAACAGACACGGGTGCTCCTGCCAAATTTACACTAGTTTTCATCTATTTCTTGGGTTTTCCATTTCTAAATAAAATGAAAATTAGCCCTTCCAACTTCTCCCCCAACCTCCTACTGACCTGCACCCATACTAGTGAATGCTGCTCTCTCATTGGCTGTAGGTAATCGCCAATGTTATTTTCAATCAACACATTTCACACAGCATGATTTGAATTGCCGACAGGTCCAGATATTTAGCATGCCAAATATGTCACGGGCATCAGCGACGCATCGAAGATTCTCTCACATCGTGTCTTTGATAGGCAAATTGGGGCTCGTTCACGTGAGCAGCAATCACACAGTGTGAACTGTGATTTCAGGCATTTTCCTGTGATTTTTCTCAACCTGTCGGCGAGTCAAAATCTCTGGTAAAATCATGCAGTCTAAACTTGGCATGACTTAAACCAGTCAATACCAGTTAATCTCCATATGAAGATTCTACTTGGTGATTGTTTCTCTTGCCGTTCTGATATCGACAACATCCGTTTTCTACAGATCATACAAGCTGTTGCTTAACATGAGAAGGAACTCTCAAATGTTCTCAAACAAATCTCCTGCACCTGAGCGAAGGTTGTTAAAAGTGTACAATCCTGCAACAAAATGTAAAACTGACCATCTGCCCTGGTATACAAGGCAAGCACAGTGACCGATTGTAACAGGGCTGTGTATATTTCAACCAGATTCAAAGCAGATGTTGAGGGTCAGGCTTTCAGGGGCCTGTTGGACTGTTGCATACTTTCCATTGAGCAAAGCTGTGCGCGCCTTTTAAGTGGATTTTAATAACACTCCTGTAATGAAATGATGAAGGGATAGGGGGTGTGTCATGCACTATACTGTAGACAGGATCAGGGTTGTTTTAGTCTCTCGGTTCAAATATCTCGTCTTTCCTCAGATCTTAAAAAAAAATCCAGAACATATAATTAGAACATTATCTCAGCATTCTGGAATATGAGTGTGGAACAGGGCTGGAATGCAGGGTTACCTCACCGTGCAGGACCATGATTCATTGCACTTTTGGAGCCCGTTTGGAACAGTTTGCACGCTCTGTTTACTAAACACAGCCTCATGAAAGTTCACTCTAAAAACAGTGTTTGACCATGCTCAGAAACATTGCAGATATCAGCGAAAGATGAATGGACTGCCAAACTCCTGCTTTACTGGCAAACATTTAACATCATACATGTGCTTGCGGATACAAAACTTTTTTATTTTCCTTACAAGATTGTGCGGTCTCACTGTCACACAGTAGATCATCTAGATTCAAATATAAATTCAGTATGCACTCTGCTGTGGTGACTCCTGGGCCTAATAGTGGTGTTTTAGTGGTGTGGTGATGGTGTCATGGGATGTTAAGAAGTCCAGATCTCATAGATGGAGACAAGGCTGTAAAGCACAATCATGCTGCGATGCCCTTGAACACAACCCAGATGCAAGGCAGAATGGTTTGCTCTGGAAAAGAGAGAAAGGGAAAAAAAATTAAATGAGAAAATAGATGATCTACATCCCAGAGCCAGAGGCAAACTCCACCCTAATTTCAGTTTCGCAGTTTGTAAGAGAAAACACAGAAGTAAAGTTTGAGTTCTTTACAGGCCTGTTTCAGAACTCCCGCTGGATTATTCTGAGAGTGCTGGCGTTAACTGATAAGCAGATATCCACAGAGCTAGAACAACTGTCAAGTTCCACAGATCCCGTGGTCTTTGTGTGTTTATCTATGAAATATTTAGCTTATTGATTATTCTTTCAGCTCCAAATACTGAAGTGCTGCACATTTCCCTTGACATCACAAAAGAATAAACCAAAAACAGGCAAAAAAAAAGTACAGATTTACAGAAATGACTTCCTGAATGGTTATTTCTTTTTAATTGAAGTCCATACAATCTCAATTAAATCAGTTTAGCTTTTTTTTATAGTGTAATGCTGCTTTCACAACATGAAAAAGATCTGCAAAGGTAAAAAGTACAAAGTTTACTCTAAAGGCAGTTATTCGCAATATCAGCCAGGATTGATTCTGAACTCTGTCAAACACCTTCATTGTAATCCTATTTTTCCTGGAATTATATTAAAACAACTATTATTGTTATAAAAGTAATTCCCATTCAAGAGGATGTGACCTTGTGAAGTTAGTTATTAGTACTGTATTATTGCCATGTTCAAGAGATGCTTTAACATCAATATTATGCACACTTTAAAACCCAACAGTCAACTTTATCAAATAAATTTAACTAAAAAATGACTGAAAGTTAATTCTACTCATTTAAAAAGAGTTTTGAACTCAGAGTTATTAATGGCTTATCACAAGAAAAATCTTACTGTGAGAAAGGTAGATGCACAAAATAACACTTGCATGCTTGTTTAGTTTACATCTTAAGACTTTAGATGCAAAAACCTCTAAGTGCCGTCTTTATTTTTCATCTAAAACTAGCATTTTTCTTAGGCTACTGTGTGTAGTTTCAGTAATATTACTCTAAGTGCAAAGAATATATTATTTCTCCTTGCCGTTAAAGTAAAAAAAACCTGAACATAAACACGGGGCTGAGAAAAAAATGCTTATTTTTGAGAAAAAATTCAGATGGCATTTAGAGGTTTTTGCATCTAAACTCATCATATAAATTTCTGTGTTCGACATAGTTGAAGTCAGAATTATTAGCCCCCCTGTTTATTTTTCTCCCCGTTTTTTGTGTATCGGAGAGAAGTTTTTTTTTAACACATTTCTAAACATAATAGTTTTAATAACTCATCTCTAATAACCGATTTATTTTATCTTTGCCATGATGACTGTAAATAATATTTGACTGGATATTTTTCAAGACACTTCTATAAAGCTTAAAGTGACATTGAAAGGCTTAGCTAGGTTAATTAGTTTAACTAGGCAGGTTGAGGTAATTAGGCAGAGCACTGTACAGTATGTCAATGGTTTGTTCTGCAGCCTATCAAAATTATAGCGTAAAGAGGCTAATAATTTTGACCTTTATGTTTATAAAAATAGTAAAAGCTGCTTTTGTTCTAGCCAAAATAGAACAAATAAGACTTCCTCGAGAAGAAAATATATTATCAGACATACTGTGAAAATGCTCTGTTGCTCTGTTAAACATCATTTGGGAAATATTTAAAACAGAAAAAAAAGGGGGGGGGGGGGAATAATAATTCTGACTTCAACTGTATTTCCATTTTTCCTCTCTCTGTGTTAATTCAATTCACAATCTGTTGTGTCTTCCACCAATTCTTCCATTCTGAATAAATTTCTATCTGCTTCTTCCTGCTTTAAAATAAAAAAAAAAATATATATATATATATGCACATTTACAAAGCACACATATTCAGAGTACTGCTACGCTATCAGCTCTCACTGGCATTTTGACATTTGTGTTCATGAAATGCCATGGCTGTGGGTGGCAAGGAGAGTCATGCTAATGCGTGTACATCTGTTATTTACAGGATTGTACATGGTCATCTTGTTGTAGCTGTGTGTGTCTGTCCATGTGGATGTAACCTATGCCATTTTAAAACTGGCCACTGATGTCATCTTAAGATGAAATTTGGACCAAATAAAGCAGCCTTCTTCAGGATTATGTGCATATACCAGAAAACGTGCAGATGTAAGTTACAAAACCGTGTGACAAATGACATCTGTATCTGCATCTGACAACTTAATCATCAGACTGTCCCGCTGGGCAGACTCAATCAAATGAAAGAAGAAAGAAATGAAGACTGAACATAAGGGAAAAAGCTAATAAACTAGCTAATATTGCAACAAATAAGACAGTGGCTGTTTAAAAATCGTTTGTGTTGCCATAGAATATTCATACAGGTCAAATATTTATGTGATTTTTCTACTTAACAAGTGCGTTCACAGAGATTTTCCTGAGACTAAATCTGTGCAAAC